CAAAAAAATATACGTATTTTGGAAATGTTGAGTCGAATTAGTCTAGAATCGATTAATTTTATGAAAGAAAACCTTTCAAACAGCCGTAGTCCGTAAACTATGATTCCTACAAAATTGATTCATAAAGAACGGAACGTATCTACCGTCTTATAGGGGGATCTACTGTATATATATAGAACGAGCAATATAGTCATCAGTGCCCATCAACCTTCTGTAATAAAACATCCTAGTTATTGTAACTGTTTTTCACAAATTACTGTAGTAATTAATTAAATACAAATGAAACCTTTTATCCAGTAACAGCACTTCAACGAAAACTCGAATGTTTTCGGCCTTCAACAAGGCCTGCCTCAGGATTTTTAACAAAACTGAATTTTCAAAGTCGAATGTCAGAATGATGATGTTCAAAAATCGCTTTTTAAAAATTATTTGATCGCACATGATCACATTTTATGGTTTTTGTCAAACAACTGCATAAATTCACCTAATGTGATGAGATATTCAAAATTTTAAAAAAGCGACTTTCAAACATCATCGTTCTGACATTCGACTTTGGAAATTTGGTTTCGTTAAAAATCCTGAGGAAGGCCTTCACCAAATGAAAATGTTAGTTTTTGTTGAAGTGCTGTTACTGGATAAAAGGTATCATTTGTATTTAACATCCTAGTAAATAATTAAATAATTCATTTTTTATATTATACTAGCTGCAAGGACCCGCTTCGCTGGGTTATAGCCAATCTTACNAATGGTAGTAAATATTTTATTGCTGCTTCACTGACATGATGATAATGATAATTGTACAATTTTTATTTCTTGCGTAAGAATTTAGGTATTGTCACAAATGCATTTTTTTAAAAATGAAATTTCGAGAATATTTTTAGTTATAAATAAACGAATTTGTGCATTCCACATTGTGTTGTAAATTGCCGAATTTTTGATGGTCCAACCTTATTTTTTTTTATTGTTTCATCTCATGCATTTAAATTTTAAATCGACCGATTTTAGATTGCCGCGTGTACCCCTTCATGCAATTTCACGTACCCCCGGGGGTACGCGTACCACTAATTGGGAACCACTGATATAGCACATCAAGTATGGGTCTATTGTAGATTTTTCAGCAAGCCTGGCTTTAAAGCTTTGCCAAACTAACAAACGTCACATAACAGTAACTCAACAGTACATCTGAATCACTAATTACATGCTTTCCATGTCCAAAAGCACTATTGACTGCTAGAAAATTTAAGTATACATTAATTAAATGTGGAGTGGTGTTTAGATTTGATTCTACTCAGACTTACATCTTTTCAGAAGCCATAGCTAAAGTTATAAGTAAGATGAATGAATAAAGTTATGCAGAAGTATAATTTAAATAATTTTCTTATTAAAACAATGGTTTTAGAATTTAAACCTATCTGTAAACTGGTTCAAATTTTAATATATATTTAAAGTGAAGTGGCATTTATCAATATTTGCTCTATTTAAGATGGGTAAATTTATAATATATATTAATAAAAACATTAAAAACTTACTTTTTCCTTTTCACTAGCTTCTCTGTCTATAGTTGAGCCCTTTAAAATTTAGATATTTCATTAACGAAATTATTACAAAAGTTGCTTCTAGTCCTTCATATAATCATATTAATTAAATTATCAACAACTGTGAGGCAGATAACTATTTTGTATCAGCACCCTGTATGTCACTCCACCATGCAAAGTCATGAAGATTTATTACACCTGTCTACACTGATAATGCTTACTGCTCATACTGTTATAATGGCATTTTCATCTTTATATTGTATAGTTTTAGGCATAGTTTTAAGTTGACCATTACCTTGTATAATTCTAATATAGCTTTACCTTTAGTTAATACCAATTGATGAGGGACTATTTGCTATTGTGAAAATAGTCCGAAATGCATTTTGGGTTTTCGTTTTCACACTTATGTAGTAATTTTTGTGTTTATTAAATTGTTTTCACTTTGATCCCTGTGTGTTTGAGCCCATCATTGGTCTGATAAGCCCTCACTATTATCTGCCTCACGGTTGCTGATAATTTAATTACTATAATATTTCATTAACTTTATATTAAACATAATTTATATGCAAATAAATATTTAAATACTTCTTGAATTGGTTTCAAATTTGAAGCAGTATTTTGCTTAGAGTATTGCTTTTTTACAGACTTATACAGGAAATGTTGAAGACAACAGGAATAACTTTAGACTTTATTGATATTAGTTACAAGAAAATGCATTTCAGGTTTCATACCCAAAATGCATTTTCCCTGATGATATCCCTTATCTGTTCTTGTCATTATGAAGGATATAACACCTGAAATGCATTTTCTTGTAACTAATATCAATAAAGTCTAAAGTCATTCCTGTTGTCTTCAACATTTCCTGTATGATAAGTCCATAAAAAAGTGATACTCTAAGCTTTGAATTTGAAACTGAAAAAGTAACAGAACAAGAAGCTAGAATAACTTGCTTGAATTAGACTCTTATGTTTGAATATTTAGAGTAACAAACCAGTATGTTTAGCAATTTATAGTTCTATTCTATAGTCTATATACTTTTATATAGTAATTAATGTCCATATTTGCATTTTAATCCAAATATCCAGTTAAGTTGTATACAGTTTCCACTCTACTTAGCAGTACAGAAATGCAAATGACCACAGATCTCATACAATCTCTCAATTTTTGAATAAGTAATTATACAGAATTCAATCTTCCTTCAATTACCAAACATAAAATTACCTGACTTGGGACTGCTAAAGCAGCACCTTTGTGGAAGTAAACAAAAAATTAAAATTCAATTTACTCACTTTAATACTTTTTATCATTTCCTCAATACATTTTCCATCATGGATTCTCACTATAAATTGCAAGATCAAGAAAAAGCCTGCAATCTTGAAGCTTAAGTGAAACTTTATAGGCAATATATCACTATATAAAATCATATGAAGATGTTAAACTTTCAGAGTGAAGTAATTCTAATCCATTCATCAATTTATAAATTGTTAATACTGTTAAGTAAAGATTTCCATACTTAAATTATATATTTCAATTATTTTTTCATATAAAATGCAAATTTTAGGAAACATATGACACTTTTGGTATAATAAACTATTAAGCAAATAAACAACATTCTCTTACAAACAACAAAGTTCTTACAAATATTATCATGTTTACATTTGTATTTATATTGTATATTGTATTTTTATTAATATACTATTTAAAAATGTCAATATTTAAAATACATTTCAAAACTTTGTTAAAAAATTTATCAAATTTTATTTAATTCTATTGGGTTGAGTCATAAATAAGTTCCGTTAGCGAGTAGGTGTAAATGACTGTCCAATACTTGCCAGATGTTGTGTTGCTTCAACTGAGTTTTATTAGTGGCTATTAACAAATAGTCTATAAATGTAAATTTTAACACTAAAGTGTCAATAATGTAATAAAAAAATTGTTTCTGAATTCATTTAAAATGGAACATTTGAAAGTGCATGCACACCATATCATGTGGGAGTTTAAACTTGGCAATAATGCTACAGAAACAGCAAAAAAAATTTGCAATGTCTAGGCAGTGGTGTAATTTCAGACAGAGCAGTTCAAAAGTGGTTTACAAAATTTTGTTCTGGTGATTTCTCCTTAAAAGATGATGAAAGACCAGGCCGCTCCTCAGACTTCGATGATGACGTTTTAAAGGTCTTGATTGAGCAGAATCCATGGCAAATGACGAGGGAGTTAGCAGAGAAGCTGCACACATCCCAATCAACTATCAATTGTCACCTCCAAAAGCTAGGAAAAGTAAGCAAGCTGGGAGTTTGGGTTCCACATAACCTCAGTGAACGGAATAAGGCTGACAGAAGGTCGATAGCTGCTACCTTGCTTTCTTGGCAAAAAGAGGAATCTTTTTTGGCTAAAATTGTTACAGGAGATGAAAAGTGGATCACATACAAAAATGTTATTCGAAAAAGACAATGGGTTGACAAAAATGATCAGCCACAACCGGACCCTAAGCCAAGTGTGCATGGAAGGAAAATTTTGTTGTGTGTATGGTGGGATCGTCGAGGAATTATCCATTTTGAGTTGTTGCCACGCAATGAAACTGTTACTGCAAATGTATACATACAACAGTTAGAGCAACTTCAGCTAAAACTTCATGAAAAGCATCCTGCACTTGTTAACAGAAAAAAGATCACCTTATTGCATGACAATGAAAGGCCACACATAGCAAAGATTACACAAGAAAAATTTTGGAGTTTGGCTGGTCTGTTTTGCCTCATCCACCATATTCACCAGACATGGCACCAACAGATTTCCATCTTTTCCGGGCACTGCAGAATGCCTTACAAGGGCAATGCTTTCAAAATGATGACCAAGTTCAGGAGTTTGTCCAGGAGTTTTTTGATTTGAAACCACCAGAATTTTATGCAAGGGGAATTCGGTGGAGTAGCGTGGATGTCAGCCACCCAGGGCGGAGGAAAATTTTGCCATCCCGTTATTTAGGTATCTCAATTTAAAAGACTAAGATTCAGTTTCATAACAGAAGAACAAGTAATGAAAATTTCCTTACCAGTGTAGCCACCCATCTAAAATAGCTCCATTGGATATTGGAGGTGTGTATGGAAACAAATGAATCATACAATCAAAAAAAAAGGGTCAACAGTCTGCGCGCATGGGTGAAATTAATAGTTCACCTGGACAGTGAGTCTATTCCCGGACTATTCCGTGCTCATTTCAATTGGTCCGGATCGTAGGTGCGACAAGACTATGGGATAAAATGGTTCAAATTTTTACAAGATATTAATATTATTTATTGTGAAATTTTTCCGCCCCCTAAATGGTAATTTTTCCACTCCCTAAAAATCTACGCTACTGGGGGAATTGACAAGTTGCCCGAAAAATGGCAAGAAGTCATTAATAATGATGGTGAATACATGTTAGATTAAAGTCTATTGTTGTACATTTTATTGACAAATAAATTTCAGCTTAGAAAACGGAACTTATTTATGACTCAACCTAATATTAAATGGATACTTTTATATTTTGTAAATAAGCAATGATCAGAATAATTGAAAGATACCTTGTGTTACACTTTTTACAACCACTTTAAACAAGGTGTGACAATTTAATTCTTAGAATGGCCATGTAATGTAGCCCATGACAATTATATGAAAATGACATGTGCATTCATGTTCAAACATGTCCCATGTCTGAACTAATACATGCATAAATTTCAAGCTGATAGAGCTAGTTGTTAATTAGCTATTGGGAAGATACTAGTTATCTGTGTGTACTCTTTGGCATAAAAATGGGTGACCAAAATTTAGAGCAATATACTAATATTAAATTTTGTGTGAAAATCAGCAAATGCACTACTGAAACATTGCAACTGTTGCAAGTGGCATATGGTAAACATGCTATGAAACACTAAAAAAGGCACGCATGTTGTTGTTGAAGACCATGCTGGTGGTTTCTTCAATCACAAGGGAATAGTCCACCAAGAATTTATTGAAGAGACAAATAGTCAACCAACAACACTAAAAGTACTGCAGAGATTATAAGATTCTGTTCAAAGAAAAAGATCTGAACTGTGGCCTGACAAGTGGATCATTCATCACAACAATGGACCAAGTCACATTTTCTGACCAAAAAAAGTGATTGCCCAATTAGATCATCCAGCCTACTCACTTGACTTAGATTCCTTATTTCTGCCTATTTCCTAAATTAAAAGCCGTGCTAAAAGGATGAAGATTTTCTATTATAACAGATACCCAACAGAAGATAAGATAGCTGCTCAACAGTATTCTGGAAAAAGAGTTCCAGGCCTGCTTCCAGAAATGCAAATGCCATTTAAGTCAGTGTATAGATGCACAAGGCAAGTACTTTGAAGATGATAGTAGCCACTAGTGTACAGTTCCACATGTATATTTTTAAAGGTGCATTCTGGGAATTAAACTGTCACATCTTGTAGTAGCTGCTAGTTTCAATAATGGCATTTCTAACCTTAAACAATTAATTTTAACTAAAATGTAACTTAAAAAGTTAATGAAATTGATTAAGAGTCTGTAGCTTAGGTATGCAACACTAAACTGTACAAAATGATTTAATTTGTATTTGCCTTTTGTTCTTGTTTTAATTGTTAGGAGTGAGCATAAGATTGCTTGAGAGAAAAATCTAACTTCATTCTGTATTCCTGTGAGATTTGTTCTCTCAAGCAGTCTTATGTTCACTCCTAAAAATTATTTGAATTTGTTTTAAGAGGATATATCATTAATACTGCATTTACACAAAATATATTTTTAAAATGTTTTTTCACCAGAATCAACATAGCAGGATGATGATATATTTTGTTTAAAATTTTTAAATTTCTCTAAAACTTGCATTTTTATATAATATTTAAAATATTTTTCTTGTAGTTTATAATTTAATAATTAAGCTGTCTATATAATTTATTTTAAATTAATAACAGTTAAAAACATTTGATGACCAGTTTAGAATAAGTTCATTTAAAATTGTTTAGATCATTACGTTAACAGTCAAGAATAAAGAACTAATAAAGAGAAGCAAACATCCAATAATGTTAATTGTCCATTATATCCGAAGATGTCTTAGTTAACTACAAAACACAACTTTGTACAAGATACAAACAGCCTACAGCATGAAAAATAAGTTATGAGAACAAATACCATACTTCCAAGTAGGGACATATAGCTGTTAATATATATTGGATAGCAAACATTTTGTATATTAACAGTTCCAGTTGATATTCTCAAATATTTTATTCATACAATAAGAGATGCCTTGGTCAAACTATTATGTTTTCTAAGGTACAACTGAAACTGTATGTGATAAAGATAAATAGTAAACATCTAATAAAACTTTTTCAGTTAATGATATATATCAGAGAGCAATGTCACAAAACTATTCAGTGTTACTCCTCTCTAATGCTATAATATTCCAAACTTAATCAAACTATTATATAGAATCATTCAGATGAAAACATGCCAAAGGATACAATAAAATACAGAATGGGTTTATTGCAGCATCTTTGGCATAAATTACAAGTGGCACCACTATAGTATTATGATACACTAACAAGTAGCTGTGAAATTATATGATAAGTAATAATAGTCTGCCTTTTTTCACATCATCATGGTAGTTTACTTTCTTACAAAGGGCCCACTGTTAATAGTTTCTTGCCTACAGAAATGCCGTATTCAGAAACTCTCAAATCTCTGATCATCAATCAAGACCAAGTGGCCTGGGTTACTCACTCAGGAGTCATTCTTCTTCACATTAATGCCTTTCCCCAAACTGCAAAAATTATCAAGGATTGACTTTCCAAATTCCAGTGAAAACACTCCAGCAATATGACCCAGATTCATCCCATGACTTTCACAATTTTGAGGAACTGAGGAAATATCTGTAGAGAGACAGATTTCATTTTGATGAAGAGAAGCAGGAACAATTCTACTAGCCAAACAATATATTAGCAAGTTACAATTATCTTGCTAATATGTCCTTTGGCTTGTTTTCATTTCAATGATCCTTGAATTTAACAATAAATCATAATTTGTGTAAAATTTCTATAATATTAATATTACCTTAAGATCATACTTTCGATGGACATTAAGAGAACTACTAAATATATTACGCATGACTACCATGTAAGTTTCTGCACCTTCAACTGTCAATCGGTACATACCCAAATATTGTGGTAACAAGGTTTTCCCATGGCATTCCACAATATACTGAAAAAAATGATACATCGTTATTATGGAAGAAAAACAAGAAAAGTTTAAATTATACCTACAGGATGATACTGTTTGAGTAGACTGTGCATCTGTTCTACTTCTTCACTTTGAAGTGTCTTAATGATAAAAAGCCGATCGTACGATTCGTAAAATTTTGCACCGCTTCGTCCTGGGGAAGTGACTGCCAATGGTTGAGATTTTGTCAAAGAATTCTAAAAATAAAATCTTTTAATTTCTTATAAAATTAGAAAAAAATTGTTAACTTATAGTTAATTTTACCATATAATCAACATCATCTATTCCAAATCTCTCTCTCAAATTTCTAAATACAAGTGGACAGTATTCTTTTACCTTAAAATGACTTGGCATATTCTCTCTAAAATAAACAAAAATATTTCAACAAAAGGAAATTTTTATAATTTCATTATTTTTTTAGTTAGTAATTATCTCTAATCATCATCATGCTTCAGTTCTTGAACCAATTTAAAGTTTTAAAAATAACTATGTTCAGTATCTTAATAAAAATAAACCTGAAAAGGAGGAGAAACAGACAGTGATTTAATATATGAGAAATTATTCTGTATAAATATGACAACTTCTTTTTCAGTATAATGTCCACTTTGACATTCTGAATATATATAAACACATTACTCCAATTCTAGGCTCAAACAGTAACAATTACTAGTTTTCAATTGGTTCCTGCCAAATCATCAAAGTTAAGAAGCAAGAAAGTATTCAGGTCGTAGACAACGCAACTATCGAATGCTGTCTTACGTCATGGAACCTAGTGGCTCTGACTGATTCCAAGTCCGGATTAATATAGAGAAATTTATTAATGGAAAGAATAAAAACTATATGACAGTCAATTCAGAAATGGCAACCTTACAGAAAATGCAAAAAATACTGAAAGACAATTGCATAAAATGTTTTCTACTCTTATTTAAGGTACAAAATATATTATACATTTATAAAAGCAAAATTTTGACATTTAAGCACATACTTAGAATTTCTTTCCTACACAAACTTAAAATTTAGAAATTATCTAACTCACTGCTATGCAGTCAACTGTTAGCTATTATATTTAGTCTTTCTGCCAAGTATTTCATGTATATATATATAATCTTATATCATTATCCTACTTAGTATATACGAACTATACACATATGATCGTCATTATTATTATATTACAGTAGATCCCCCTATAAAAGCGTTTCCTATAGTTATGATTCCTATAAAAATTGTGGCATTATCCGTAAACAACGGTAAAAATAACTCCTATAATACGTAAAACGTCATCGGGCAGCCGAACTACTTACCCGCCGTCCGTAGCGCCACGCTACGGAGAGATTTCTATCGTCTGGACAGTATTATATAAATTATATATAAATTAGGTACTGTACATATAATTATATATTAATTATATATAAATTAGGTACTGTATATATAATTATATATTAACTTAATTTATTGTAACTTTATTATAATTAAATATATATTTTTCGCCGTCTAGCGTCACGCTACGGCGAGTTAGGCGACCTATCGTCTGTTTAGTACTGTAATTTTATACATTTCTTGTGAAAGAAACATTTCT